AGAGAGCTCCCACAGACACCGAAAGAACCAGGAACAAATACATGGGGATAATATCCACATAAAGCTTAGCACTGTGCCAAACCAGACTCAGCAAAAGTGCTGAGAATCCTCACAGGGATGCTGCAGACACTGAAAATAAAACCAGGACCCGTGGAAGACCTGGCGGCTATCAGAGAGCTCCTGTAAACACCAAAAGAACCAGAGGAACAGAAAAATGAGGATAATGTCCACAAAAAGCTTAGGACCACTCCAAAGCACAAAGCAGAACCAGTAGAAAAGTCTAAGAATACTCAAGAGACTGCTGGGGACACCTGAGGAAAATGCAGACTCCGTGGAAAAAGATCTGACAGGCCTCAAAGAGCTTATGAAAACACCAAAGCAAGCAATACAACCAGAGAGCAAAGGCAACAAGAACTCCATATCTCCCAAGTGGAAACATGGAAAAGGTAAAAACCTCACAGGTATCAAGAGATAGTTTACGATGCCTAAGGAAAAGGCAGACAAACAACCTGATCCAAAAATGGGCAGAGGATAAGAACATAAGCATAAATATTCTCCGTAGTATAATTTTTGCCATAAAATTAAAATGAATTCTGTATGTAAAAGGAAATAAATAAATAAAATTAGGTTCTATCTGTATTTTTTTAATGGAAATCTCTGTTTTTAATTAAGCAATTTTTTTTTTTTTTTTAGGAAGATTGGCCCAAGGCTAACATCTGTTACCCATCTTCCCGTTTTTTCTCCCGAAAGCCCCGGTACATAGTTGTGTATCACAGATGTGGAGTTGTAGCTCTTCTATGGGGGACGGTGCCTCAGCATGGCTTGATGAGCAGTGAGTAGGTCTGTGCCCCAGGATCCGAACCAGCGAACCCGGGCTGCAGAAGTGGAATGTGCAAACTTAACCACTACGCCACCGGGCCAGCCCCTCTATCTGTATTTAAATATAATCAAAGTGGCTTTATTTGACATTTGATTATTTTATAGGCAAAATAAAAGAATTAAGACATCCTTTCCATCCCTATGGAAGAAAGGAAGTCCTAATTTCTTGCAATTAGCTGGTTGCTGATTCATTCTTTGGTTGATAAAATATCTTCTGTTAGCCTATCAGTTATTTGCCTTTTCACCAATGGATGAAAGGAGAATGAAAAAGTGAATTGTAAACTAGTGAGGTCAGACACAAACTCGCCAAGTACTCTATTACTGATCAGTTGTCTGCAACTTACACTTTTGCAGAAATGGCTAATGCTAGGCTGCTAAAAGTAAAAGAACTCATTGTTCCTCTCAATCTGGAAATCCAAATTTATTATGATTCATGAAATTTTTACAGAAGTCAATGCAGAATATTGTATAAATCTGAACACCATATTCATGTTTATAACATACCAATTTCAGCTCTGAATTGTTTCCTTTACTAATTTCGCTTGAGAGAAACAAGTACACATAGTACATTAGTATACATAAAGTACAACATTAAGGTACTTAGCATATTGCCTTTTAAACTGTTGAAGCCATTTCCTTACTATTCCCTTCGGCCTTTTTTCCTTATATAGTACACCTCATGCCCTTTGGCATAATTGCCCATGCCATTGTCCATGGCTGAAGCACATTCACATTTGCAGAATGTGGCTTCTTAAAACTATCATTCTATCTCAAGAAGACATTTGCCCCTTGGTTATGATATTGAACACCAATAACAAATTGCTTTTAAGCAACTGGTGATTCCATAAATTAGTGATTTAGAAAATCAGTCATGTTTTCTCACATTCCAGATGGATTCTTACCATCTTACCATATCCAGGACCATTATTTCCCTACTCATGAGAGGTCAGTGAAAATAAAATATGTTTGAAATGTTTTAGTATGTGAATTACTTTGATAACTGAAAACCAGGAGCTAAAACTTAGTACTAGAGAGCCTGGTAGTCCTAGGTAGGTTTGGTTAAGACATGCCTGTATTTAACAACCTTGCAAAAAGTATCAGTCAGAGAATATGAATATATATATATATGTACACACACACATATATACACACACACATAAATCTGTGTCCTACAACTATATATAGAAAAATATTAAAAAAAAGCAAAATCGGTATCTCATCATGAATTATTTTCAAGTGAGAGAATAACTGTTTTTCTATATTAAAAACTATTTTCTACATTTCTATTTTCTACTAGTTCTATCTACATAATAATAACCTCCAGGTGAAATCTGTAAAACTAAACACCAGATACCGCTCTTAGTGTTTTAAACATGTTTCTATCCAGGTATTCTAGCATTATGAAACACATAGGTTCTCTGTGCATTAACATGGTACGTTTGTTATACATGTATTACTATGAGACATGTTCCTTTATCATTAATAAAAATAGTTTTTAAGAATTTTTTCCCACAAAATTATGCCTGAACAAAATTGTGCTTGGTAAATCAATGAACTGCAAAAAAAAAAAAATCAAAGTAGAGTCAAATTCATTTTTATTGAACTGGGGGATTGAATAAAAGCTTGTGTTATGTGTAGGGAAAAAACAAGTGGGAAACTTGTAATTTTAAAATTCAGTAGAACCTTATTGCACAATTGGTGTCATATTTATAATATGGGAAACATTCCATAGTTGATACAAGAGATACATATTTGATCCATAAATGTATTTTTAAAACATTTGGTTGTAAAGTTAAAATCGTTGGTAGTAACAAAATATAGGATATACTTCATATACTGGCATTTGGATATTTATGTTGATGTTTCAGCAATGAGTTAATATATTTTATTTTTTTTGTGAGGAAGACTGGCTCTGAGCTAATCCTCAGAGCCAATCCTCCTCTTTTTTTGCTGAGGAAGATTAGCCCTGGGCTAACATCTGTGCCCATCTTCCTCTATTTCATATGTGGGATGCTGCCACAGCGTGGCTTGATGAGTGGGGTAGTTCTGCGTCTGGGATCCGAACCTGGGAACCTCGGGCTGCCAAAGCGGGATGCGCAAACTTAACCACTACCCCACAGGCCCGGCCCCCATCTATGAGTGAATTTTAAGAAGTGTCTACAACAGTGTATTGTCAAAGGATAAATCATTTAAAAGAATATGGCAACTTTCCAGTTTGTTTCAATGGTGGGTGGTATAGATAGCCACATGAAACAAAAATTTACAGTGTTTGAGTAACATTAATATATGTGATTATTCAATATAATGTGATTTCATTAAATCTTGTACCATTCTCAAATGATGTCTCAACTCTTGATGCTTTTGCCAATTCACAGCTTAAAATTGCTTTTAAATGACAAAGATACACATTTCATATTTTAATACACTAACATATAGTCACATGTCTGATAGAATTTGCACAAAGATTTAATGTTTTTCTATGTTTTAATACTTCAAATGATTTTTCTTTAATGACAGGGTCATTAGCTTTTAGAAGTTTAGAGTAAACCATTCTCTTTATTACAATTCAGACATTTTAAAATTTCTCAGGATTGTCAGACTTTTTCAATCACAAGAACGATGTTTCTAGAGACATGTGTGAGGTCCATGTGCGTAATCTTTCTTAACACAACAGTCATCCTTCCCCAAGCAGAAAAACCGTTTTTGTTTTCCTTCTTTTCCTTTGATGATAATCATAAACTGTAATAATTATATGGTATACAATGTGTATATTGTACATAGACAATATGCACATGTATGTTATACCTAATGCATTTTAATATATTATTTTATATTACCATTTGCTTAAAGAACATTTCATAGAATATTGGAACTGATACAATGACATTTTTTTCTTAAGATAGGTTGACTGAATTCTTCTGTAGTACGTTACTGCACAAGTATGGCTTAAACAAAAGTTACAAGTCACAGGTTCTTATGTTCTGTATCATGTGGACGTATTCCAAATGAAACATGGAGGGGAAGTGCGCAACGTTAGACTTCAAGGGATGGCATACACGTATCAATCATGTTTACAGTAACTATGTGGGGAATGATACGGTTAAGACCTAGACTACATAATGTACAGTTATTATAAAAAGTTATGTATTATGCGACAGTACTAAAAATAAAATATATTCTTCTCAAATAGTGAAAATAAGGTATCCTTCATGTTTTTTCTCTCACGTTTACCTGTTTGACCATGCCTATTTTTTTCCATTGTAAATGAAATAATCTCCAACAATTTATTAAACAATAATGACAGAGTGTGGGCAATTTCCTGATTAAGGCCCAAAAAAGGTGGTAAGACGATCATCTTGTCATTAATTGCAGAAATGCACTTCTGATGCGTGCAATACATCGTAAAAATATAAAAATAAAATACAAATAAATATAAATATCTTCTCAGTTGTTGAAAAATCAAAAGTCCAACTGTACCTTACTACGAATACGGTCCTGGATATCCGTAATTGCTGTATCTTGAACAGGTACAGCAACTAAGCGGTATCAGGGGCATCCTCACCATCCTGTGCGCCGTTAGCTGTGACTACGCCTGGCCAGGAAGACACGGAGGGTGTTCTGGGGTCTCCGCTAGGGAGGGCTTCGACCATGCCCAGGCGCTGCTCTCCCAGACCGCGCGCAGGCTCCTCGCAGCACGCCGCCTCCGGCTCCTCGCCCTGCGCGCGTCCTGGGAGACCGCGACCAGTCCAGGCGAGAGGGAAAGGAGAGGAACTGCGTCCCTTTCCCCTCATCCCTAAAGGATGCTGCCCTTCTCCTGACGCACTGAGGGGCTCACGTGTGCTCTGATTCGGGAAGCAGGCACTTACGGGTGAACAGAATCTGAGGCGACGCGGACGGCCGGACGGCCTTCGAACTGGGCTCCGGGCGCATCCGCAGCTGTCGCCCCCGCCGCGCGACTAACGTCTCCTTGAACCGAACGACACGCAGGGAAACTTAAGATCCAGGGGGAGAGCAGGGTGGCGATGACCCCAAGCCGGTCGCCCGGCGATTAGGCCGGGGTGTCAGGCGGGGTCCGAGGCAGTTGGTAGCGGCCGCGGCCACCCCGGCCGCTGCGTCCCCCCGCAGCCCCAGCCCGTTCTGTCGGCGTGTCCTCGAGGGTCCCCGGGCGCTCAGATGAGCGGGAAGCAGCCCTCGCCGCCGTCGGACTCCCCGGCGCCGCCGCCTTGCGGGCGGCCGAGCGCTGACGCGGGCAGCACGACCTCCCCGGGGCTTGGCTGCTGCAGCCGCATGGACTCCTCGTAGGTCGGCAGGGTCTTGACCTCCTCGTAGCTGGGCAGCTGCAGGAAGACCGGCGGGACTACGCGCAGCTCGTGCTCCGAGGCGC